TGAGTCAAACTGTCATTCTGCTTCAATGAAAACTAGAGTTGAACAATTTCAAACAATTAAAATAAGCATAAAGAGCTTTCAGAGGAAGCAACCATGCCTCAAACTATTCCCAAGCACGGATTCAGTCTAAGATTGATGGTCCTATCTTGGCATGTTTTCCTTTGGAGGGGAAATCTAATAATCTAATGGGAAATTCACCCATTCATTTTCTATCTTCCACAAAGGCAAGGCTTGGCATGCCTCTGTAGCTGAGAAAGTACCAAGGAAAACATCATAGGCAAATAGTAAAGTTATAAAAGAAGGCCTAACATAATATCTGGCACATAGGAATTACTGAAAAAGTATTATGCTTGGGGACTATGGAGATCTCTAACATGCAAAATGTGCCCATATCTACAGAGGTAAAGAGTCAAATGAAAAAATAATTTAAAAGAGAGATTGAGCTTTTGTATCCATGTAAATTATTTCATTCTACAAACTTCTCTGTAGGTAATGCTATCCTCAACTCTAATTCTGATTTTTTTTTAAAGGTTCCTAAAAAGGACTACTTTATTTTTTAATTAAAAAAATACTTTATTGGGACTCTTACATCACAATCCATACATTCCTCCAAGTCAAGCACATTTGTACATATGCTGCCATCATCATTTTCAAAGCATTCTCTTCCCACCTGAGCCCCTGATATCAGATCCCCATTTCTTCCTGCTCTCCCCCACACCCACCCTCCCTCACGAACCCTTGGTAAGTCTTAGATTATTTTTTCCATATCTTACATCATCCTTCGTTGCCCCTCACCCACTTTTCCTTTACTCATCCCTCTGGGAAAGGGTTCTAGATTGATAAAAGGCGGATTTTAGATAATCAGAAATTATATGTCTTTAAAAAAAATGCAACATTTTTGCTGTTTCTGTCTAATATAACTAGGAAAGTAACATATATTAAAACCCAAACATATACTGGCACCAATTCCAACTAATAATTACCTTATACAGGATTTCCAAGAAAGCTAATTTATACAGGTGCCAATAGGCTTCATCTTTCTCCTGGAGTGCCTGATGGATTTGAACCACAAACCATGCAATTAGCAGTCCAACACCCAACCCAAAGAAACACCAGGGCTCTTTACTATAGGAAAGTTAAAAACAGAGAAAAAGCCCACTATAATCCCTGGTAATATCCAGCGAGCTAATATTTAGTGAACTTCTTTGTAGTCATTTTTATTTATATAGATTTTATGTAAAAGTATGAAGAATTCTCAATGTACTCAATCTCTAAAGTCTCTTCATTCACAGCAGACATGTTTTGTAGGTGTGTGTCTGGTGCCATATCCTGTGCTCAAGGCTGGAAATACAAAGATAAGTAGACTAGAGGTTCTTCCACAAAGAGCTCACAGTTTCCGTTCAGCAATTGCCTTTGGCCTCACAGAAATATGGGCTTAAGGCTTAATTACATGAGTTTGCGCAACACAAACGATAAAGTAAATGCTTAAAATTTGGCTATTTATAGCTTTACTCTTTTGAGGGCAATCACCATGTACGTATTGATTTATCTCAGATAACAACTGAAGGTTGTGATTTTGTAGGTGGACGTTGCCATCTTTTACTCATTTCATAGCACATCCTTTTCAATATTTGTGAGTAGCACTCTTTATTGGTTTGAAATCAGTTCTGCTTTAAAAACAAAAAAAGCAGCTTGCATTTCCTCCAGGTGAAATTTCAGATAATTCATGACATTGCCTCAACCTGTGTATTTGCATAATGTATTTGTTTATGTGCTGGTAGAGAATGGTAGCCTTCCAATTTAGGTAGAAGATGTAAAGCAAATGCTTCAATCAGCACAGGTGCTTTTACCCAAATACACAGTGTTACACACACCTAGAACTATTTGCATCATATGCACAAACATCAGTTGTATATGACCTTTACTTCTCTGGAAAACATAAAAGAATCCCTAGTTAGTAAGTTTCTCTACTGTCTTCCGACTTGAGTCCAGTTGCATAAAAGGTTGTTTCAAGGTTGGCATAGATTAAACAAGGTACTGGATCATAATTTTAAGCCTTCTAAAATACACTTCAAAGGGAATGAGAGGGAATTATTGAACGAGCAGTAAAGAAAACCAAAACTCATTGCCACCCAGTTGATTCTGACTCACAGTGGCCCTACAGGGCAGAATAGACCTGCCTCATTGGGTTTCCAAGAGCAGAAAGCCTGATCTCTCTGTCGCTGGTAGGTTTGTAACCCACTAAGCCACCAGGGTTCCTAAGCAGCAGAGCAGCATAGAATAGTCAGAAAATCTGCTTTCTAGTTCAAGTCCTACTGCTTCCTAAAGACAGGAGCAATAGCGAGTAGTCATTAATCTGGGCCCAGTCTTCTTGTCCCTACTACAATGATGGGGGCGGCGTCCTCACACTCACTGTGCTACTGCTGAGAAGTATATCTGGGCAAAACGCTATCTAAGTGTTAAGAATTAGGTCCAAGAATCATTAATTTATAACTACTTCCTAAAAAGCTCAGGAAGATCAAGTTTCACTGTTTGAAAGGTGCCCTTCCATTACACTTCTAAGTTGCCAACAAAGGTTTTTTTTCACACAAGAAAGGTGGTGTTCTGTGGTGTTCTTTAGCGAATCAGCACCATGCTACTGCTGCTGTTAAAACAAGGAGTTGTCGGAAGAAAGTTCCAGAAACATGTTTAGCAACGGGAAAAAAACAAGAACTAGGACAGCAAAACAAATTGGGTAGTAAATCGAGTTTCTCTTGTATTCAGATTGGGTTTAAGGTGGAGAAATGCCTAGCATCCTCTTTCTCTACATCCAGAATTAAGAAACTGTTAGCATGTGGTTCCTTTAAGGCTACCCAATAGTTCGGACTTTAAGGTTTCAAAAAGGCTTTCCTTTTGGCCCGGTAACAGTCACTAATGGTTTTAACCCTTGGAGACCAAAATGGTGTTGTTTGTCAATGTTTTCCCATTAGTGAAGATTACCTAGCTAGATCCCTAATGACACTTGTTTACGACAGATTTCCCAGGAAGCAAAAAGTTTTACACGACAACTGAGAGTAAGCACTGGTACAGCAGCAAGTCTCTCCAAAGAGCTGAAATGCTCTAGAGGCCTCTTTGCTACTCATACACAGATTTTACTCATGTTGTGGTAAACGTATCTGCTTCGATTGAAATGTATACGGGGTGGGGGAGAAATCTCTAAATGCACTTATTTTGACCAGCAAAAGTGCTGCCAAACATTCTAAGGCCAGATTCCAAGGGACTCATGAAGCTAGAGATGTGGTATGGATCCTCCCAATGAAACTAAATGAACAGAAGCCTCCTAGCCTAATACCTTATCATGAGTGTATTAAACAAAATGTTTTCAACACTTTTTCTTCCCACTTAGCTTTTGCTCCCCATAGAACATAACACCGTCTCTCTTTAGCCTTCTCTCTCTTCGCTCACCCTTTCTTTTACTACATCATAGTATTTCATTCAGTGGATGTGCCAGACTTTCCTGTATATTCCCAAATTACAGATATGTTCTTGCTTCTTATATTTTGTGTGCATGTACAATACTTTGATAAATAAGTTGGTTTAGCTGGGTGCAAGCTATCGACAGGATAGATTATTAGGCATGAGATTGCTGGGTTAAAGGGTGAAATCAATCTGCAATTCTGGTAGATACTACCAGTTTCTCCTTCATGAGGACTCTGTCACTTGGCCTTCTCACCAGATACACGAGTACTCATTTCCTGAAGACCACTCATAAAAATATGCATGCTGGCATGGACCCCACCCCTGAATTCTCACTCAATAGATATGGGGTTGGGTTAGCACTGGTTTATCTTGAAAAAAGTGCTCCACAGAACATATATCCCTGGTTGCAAATTCCTATTCCAAAAAGTATTTTATGCTTGCTTGTGCTCTTCAAATCCAAAAGAAAGTCAAACTTTTTAAAAAAGTAGGTGAAATCAGATAACCAACCACCTATACGTCATGTCAAGAAGCTGGAGTTTAAAGGTCAGTAGGCAAAGAAGCGTGGGGAAGAGATTTAAGGCTGCAAGCAGTATGATCAGACTGCTGCTTGAGATCCATGGACAATGTACTGACAAGGGCACATAACTGGAGAAAGAAGTTAGGAAACCAACCAGCAGCTGAGATGAATGTTTGAACTGGGACAGGGGTGAAGGAGAAAATGAACTGAAGACATCTTAAGAGGTAAAAGAGCGGAACTTAGAAGTTGGCTGTGGGGCACAGGTGACTGAGACCATGAGTCCAAAGTGTTATCAACCCGTTACCAATAAAGACCTGGGCTTAGCTGTTTTTCTAGCAGCAGGAAGTGGTTCCTACAGTTCTGTTCCACTCTCTTTGTCAGAGTGAGACTCACTCTCTCGGGAGCTGGGCATGGAGACAGGCAAAACAAACTGGTGAGCTAATCCATTAGCATCAAGCTCTAATCAACTAAATAAAACCACTATAGAAAACCCCAACAGGCAAACATAACATTACATGATCATGTCTTTCATACAGTCTCTCTTATCATAACTCCCCCACTGGTGAAATTCTTCACTCCAGTTTCCTCTGTGCCCTGAAGTCAGTGACCACAGACAGCTGCTGACAGCATGAAAACTGCCAGCAAGGACAAGGGTAGGTGGTTCAGGGACAGCGGCGTGAATGTCTGCATTCCCAAACCTTAACCCACTCTGACCAAGCTGTTGAAGATAAGGAATGGCCTATGGTCCAGCCACCAAATCGTAGCAACCTCTGGGGCCTAGAAGATCTGGGGAAGTAAGCCCCAACCCTACCCCAACCCCAGCCCTTCCCCAGCCAAATGTCCTGAGGGGAAGAAGCAGGAGAAAGCTCAGGCACTCACTCATACCAAGCCTGACAGCTGTCTCTTTTCGCAGAGCGCCTTAAAAACAAACTGAAGGGAAAGCAAGAACTAGTCAAAGCCCATCACATGAGAGCCATTGAGTGAAAGGCACATACAGAGAATAACAAATTACACTCAGGCTTACCTTTCTTTTTTCTTCATCTGTGGATTCAAATTTGAAAGTAGCCCTATGCTGAGGGAGAAAGAAAAGAAAAATAATGTCATTTTCAATATACAGAGTGTTAAATAATATCCCTATAAAAATGTCTTCCTATCTTGTATCACAATATTTTTCTAATAGTGAGACACAGGCATGTACACAGATAATTATACAAGCTGAAAAGCCTATAGCAAAAATGTATATAAAGGAGCAAAAAGAACCAAGTCATCAACTCTGCACACGGAAATGGAAGGCTTTATACAGAGAACGTAGCATTTGGACTGGGCCTTGGGGGAGGAATAGGAGTTTGCCAGAAGCAAATAGAAAATATGCTAGGGGTAGAAACAAAGGCTGACAGAAGAGTGAAATTACTGAGCCACATTTTTGAAGTAAGCAGCTCCCTGAGACTGGAGCTGTAGGGCAACCATTAGGGGACAGGGGAAGTGGGGAAGAGAGAAAAGAAAATGGAAGTTATCGATGGGTAGGGTCTTTCAATGATGGTGAGAAGTTCGTGATTTCTTTGTCATCCACAATAAGAAATCATCAGAGAAACTTGAAAGGGTTGGTATTTTAGAAAAATAATTCTACAGTAAAGAGAGTGCAAAAACCTTGGCTCCACCACTGACTAGCTCTGTGACCTTGAACAATACTAAAACTCTTAACTGGTTTTCTCATCCAAAATGGGAAAATGAGCATCCCTGTTTCACAGGGTTCATAGCGCTCCATCAGCACCGTCTTAGCGATGGCACATAGCAAATGCCCAGTTGAATAAAACTTTGGGTTGAAATAAAGACAATGCCAATGATAACGAGGAAAATCCACTAGCATGGCAAGGAAGTGTGCTTGTCTCGCGTCTCCTGGAATGAGTGGCCATACTGATTTCTCCCTCTGTAGCTGACGTGGAACAGGACAGAGAGGAGAAATAAGGAGGTTACCCACTCTCAGCAGGGTGATAGTACCAAACAACAACAAACCAGAGCAGCATGTAAATTCCTCATTCTCAAGTTTTATTCAGAAGAATCGGTGCTCTTAAGAAAATCCAAGTTGTTTTCCTGACAACCCACCTGGAGTTAAGTACAGCAAAGTACTGCAGACACCACCATTACAGGTGGCTCTGCACAGACAGCTTTGTAAACACCATAATGTTTTAAATTAAATGAGGTAGAGAGGGTTGGCAGAGCAGCCATTCTAAATGTAAGAACTGATGTGAGGGAAGACAGTGCTAAGAGGGCAGGGGGATCGGAGAAGGGGGGGGAGGGGGGGCTGCAAAACAATGGACATGGAGGTCAGTGGTCAGGGCTTAGACCGAAAATTTCATACCTGACCTGACAGATGGCTGAGGAGCCCTGGTGACAAGAGGTAATGTGTTAGACTATGATTCGCAAAGTCCACAGTTCAAAACCATCAGCCGTTCCGTGGGAGAAAACAGGGCATTCTACTTGCATAAAGAATTATCATCTTGGAAAGTCACAGGGGCAGTTCTACCCCGTCCTATAGGGTCACTATGAGCTGGCATCTACTTGATGGTTGTGGGTTTGGCTTGGTTTGGGGTAGATAGCTGTCTGGCAACAGGGAAGGCTCTGAGAGAGGTGGGAAGAGTAAAGGAATTTTGGAAGAATTCTTTTGACCAGTAGCTCACGGGGCAGATAAGAAAAGCTAGCAAGTCGGAGGCCACAAATCTCCTGTGAGGAGCAGGCCTCAGTGCTTCAGGCATGTGTACACTGACACAAACCTTAAAACGGAAAGTGATTTGGCAACACGCATGACAAGCTGTAAAAATATTCTTCTCCTTTGACCCAGATTCTCTACTTCTGAGAAGCCAATAATAATGAAATCACCCAGATGGAGAGGAAAATTATGTATGTAAGCATATTCACTGCAGTGTATTCTAATGTCATTGGGGAGAAGGGAGACAACCCGAGTCTGCACAGGAGATTGATGAAATAACAGAATATGAAATAACCTGACAGAATATTATACAGTAATTTTTAAAATGATGGCTAGGAAGTTCTGTAGCAATGTGGAAAATTTCTTAGGATGGCATCAAGTAAAAAAACAGTCAAACATCAAATTATGTATTTATAATGATAGTAATTACAAGTATGCATGAAGGCATAAAGACAGAGATCAGAGTGATTTTGAGTGTTAAAATGCAAGAGTAAAAGCCCTTGTAGAAGGGTGGTGGAATTTCTGGTGACTTTAAAAAAAAAACAACTTATTATTGCTGCTCTTCTAAATAATAAAAAGGGTTAAGGTTAAAGATAAATGAATAAAGAAAGGGAGAATGGATGAGCAAGTTGTAAATCTGAGGGCCATAATTTAGGAGAGGTTTTGAAAAGTCCACAGGCACAAGACATCAGACTACAGTTGTAAATTAACACTTCCTAAAGGCTCTGGTATTGTGGTCACGTGCCACTGAGTCAATTCCCACTCACGCGACTCTGTACAACAGAATGAAATGCTACACGGGCCCCAGACCATTCAAATAAATCACTGTACATCAGAATCAGAAAAGCTCTAAGTGTGTCATTTATGTAATTATTAATTCTACAGTGATATGGAATAATTTATCTAGCTGCTAGTGTGCTGGTTATTCTTCGATAATTTTAGTCAGAATTGGCTCAACAGCAATGAGTTTGGGATGGGGAAGGGACAGAACAAAACGCCAAACCCACTGCTAGAGAGGTGATTCCGACTCAGCAACTCTGCAAGACAGAGCAGAACCGCTCCTTTGGGTTTCCAAAGCTGTAAACCTTTACAGGAGCAGACTGCCATCTCTTTCTCCTGCGGAGTAGCTGGTAGATTTGAACCACTAACCTTTTGGTCAGCAGCAGAGTGCTTTAACCACTGTGCAACCAGGGTTCCTTTATTTTCTGGAAAGACACCCACTGAATTACAGAACTATTTTAATCAGTTCCTATGTAGAATTAATCTTTTAAGGTGGTGATTTAGAATGGTACCAAGAGCTGATTTTTCTGACTTTTAAAAAGCAACGCTGTTATCATATTTTTTAAAAAAACCCAAAACCCATTTTTTAAAGCTTCCAAAAGTCCTGTCTCCTAACTAGCACAAGAGCTTAATTTAATTAGAAAATATATTGGTATGTGAGGCAACATAAATTGAATTTTGAATGTGCCAATCTATTCAGGAAATTCAGCCCTCTAGGATTCTTTTATATCCCAAAGTTGCTGTCTTCTGTAGTGCTGTCTCCTTTTATACAACTTTGATCTTTAATTAGACCTATAGCCCCAAACCACACATTTCATGAGCAACAGAAAAGGTTGCAATGGAGGTAGTGGTGTCTTTTTTCCAGCCTAACTCAGGTCCCCATAAGAACCCGTGCGACTCCTATATTTGACCTTGAATTCTGAACACTAGGTTTACAGAAGTAGCTGTTTATAGTGGCTATTGTACCCTCAAACTTTATTCTCTTTCCACAGCTAAAAGGGGGTGGTATGAGGAGTATGGAGAGCGGCTAGCATTTTGGGCTGTCTATAACTGTTAGCCGAAAGTCAACCACTTCACATCTTTATATCCCTAATTCCCAGATGAACTGGAGCAACTAGTCAAATATAAACTGACGTGTAAAGCCAATGTTCAAGTTAGAGATCAGGAAAGCTAGGAACAATAGCTCAAACTCACTATGAGGGCTCCCCACTGAAGGTTTTATATGCTATGAATCGGCTCTAAAAAGTTCTGCCTCTGGAAGCCAGGTAACCTTGAGTTTAAATCCAGTCCTATTGCTTACAAACAGTGTGACCTTGGTCATATTGTTCAATCTTACTACCTTACCCCCTCAGCCTCCTTATCTCTACTTATAGCACCTAGCAAGTAGTAGGTGCTCAATAAAGTCACTCTTGTTTTTATGGTCTGTGGTGTGGCATCTGACAAATATCAACAGTACTGATACGAGGATGAATCTTATCAGAATGATATGTATATGTCATATTTCATGAATAGGTTACTTCTACCACTAAACACCAATAATCAAGATTATATACACCAATTTGATAATAAACAGAGGAACCCATTACACATGCTATGTAAAAACCTGTAGTGTGAACTTTAGAGTCAGAACTCAACCTGGATCCAAGTGGAAAACAAAAGGCCTTCTTATGTAGTCCAAGATATGTATGCAACCCTATTCAAATGTGGAAGAAGGCCTGGTAGGGCTGTGGGGTAAGTGTGGGGACTGTTAACCCGCAAGGTCAACAGTTCAAACCCTCCAGTCACTCCTTGGGAGAAAGGCTGAGGCTGTCAGCTCCCCACAAAGATTTACGGTCTCAGAAACTCTATACAAGGTCACCAGGAGTTGGAATTGATAGCAGTGAGCTGGGTGTTTTAGACCCCAATAGTAGGTCTCTAACAGACACATAATTCAAGTATTAAAAGATGACTTCATTGCTATCAATGCTGTCTTCCTCTTCTGAGAAGACTACTCTTGGACACCTACACGTATCTGCCTGGTCTCACATGCTTTTTACCCTTCATTTGGTCATTAACTTGCTGTACTTCCCAAATGGAATCCTGGTAGTTTGCTGTCCATAATCACAGTTGATGACTTTAGTCTTCTGAGCTTCTTCATCTATTAAAGGAAGGTTGGGCATGTGTGTGCGTGCGCACACACATATGGTATTCTGCAACTCGAGTCCCAAGTACTGGAAGTCAGGCAAAGAGAGGGACTTGCCTAAGTGTGACCTGAATGGAAATTTGGACCCAATTTTTGAGATTCCTTCTAGTCTAAATACCTTGTGTTTCAAGGAAATGTGTGCACCTTGGGGACCTTGATCACTATTTGTTGATAATCATGACATGGTAACAATGAAGAGGCTGGTACAAGAACAGACCGCGGAGAAGGAGCAATTTGGACAGTCAGTCCACAATCCACACCCCATCCTATAACTGGAGGGGAGGTGATTAGGACCAAGAGTAGCCAAAGGATATAGTGTACTGCTCCTGAAAAACGTCCTCTTTTGTACTTAAAAAGACAGCGGAAGTATGTAATCTGTAAACAAGACCGACCACTTGTTAGCTATGTGCCCATTAGCATGGAGCTTCCCACTTTGTTTTTCTGACCCCCAATTTCCTATTCCAAAATAACAATACGTACGTCCTCATGCGTCATAATTTAAGAGGATTATATGTGACACCATGTATAAAGATGCTTAGAAGCATGGTTCCTGCTTAAAAGCAGGAACTCAATAAATATTAACACATAGCTCGAGGAGTGAAAAAGAACCACCACACCTTAAAAAAACAAAACAAAACACAGCAAATTACTTTTCTATGCTGAGTCAACTTATATTATGCCCTTCAGAAATGGACAAGTTTCCTTCTTTGCTTCTTCCAAGATAACAAGAGTCAGTGAGCAAAGCAAGGTGGCTTGGAACTTGGAAAAGAGAATCTCTAAAGAGCTACAAAAAGTACATTATATTTCCTGGAGCTAGACGGGTAAAGGCTGTTCAAACACACATGATTCATGATACTTTGCTACGCATTAAGAAGTGCAAGAGTCCAGGAAAAGGAAGAGAACAGAATGTAGGGCTGAATTTTCAGAGTGGGCTATGTCAACTCAGTCCCACATGTGCAATCCCTGCCTTTGAAGAAAGCCTAATGGGTATGTGGTGCTTCCTCCAGCCTTGGTGAAAGCCTGACAACAAGTCTATGATGTAGGTGTTATTGTTATTCCCAGGGAGAAACCGGAGGCAGAACCAAGTTAAGTCATTTGTGTGAGATCACAGGAAGTTTAGGTGGAGAATCAGGTTCTAGATCAGTCGTTCTCAACCTTCCTAATGCTGCTATCCAGTAATACAGTTCCTCATGTTGTGGTGACCCCCCCCAACAATAAAATTATTTTTGTTGCTACTTCGCTGTCATTTTGCTACTGTTATCCATTGGGCAGCCCCTGTGAGAGGGTTGTTTGACCTCCAAAGGGGTCGCAACCCACAGGCTGAGAACCTCTGGTCTAGACAATCTTGCTCGAGAGCCTGTTCAGCCCACACTTACCTCCTGAGTACCTTGAGCACTATCAATGAAACTGATGAATCAAGTGCCTCCGAAATGTACCTTGGTCAGTATTTGGCAACTAATTCATTGAATCGTATCGCAAAATACCGTTCCTACAAGAATGATTATATTGTGCCTATTTTATAGAAAAAACAAACTGTGACCTGGAGACTTAAAATAACATATCCACAGTCTTGAAGTCAACAAATGGCCGAGCTGAAATTTCTTTCTACTGTACTTGGCTGACTTTATTAGAGAAATCAGCACACTGACTCTCTACCCACGAGAGATGAAACCCTTTTATAGCGCTCATTTCCCTTCTTAGCTAGGCTCTTCAATGTCCCATTAACTATATGATGTTGAATTGACCCAGACTCATGGTGACCTTATGTGCATCAGAGTACAACTGTACGCTAAAGAATTTTCAATGGCTGATTTTGGGCGGGGAAGCAGATTGCCAAGTCTTGTGAGGGGCCTCTGGGTGGACTCGAACTCCAATCCTTTGGTTAGCAGCAGAAAATGTTAACTGTCTGCACTGATCAAAGCCTCTCACTGCCCCCTGAATCCCTCCTATTCCACACAGCAATTCTCAGATTCGTTTCTCCAGGCAAAGAAACCAGTGGTTTCTGATTCCACACACAGTTAACGGAACAGGACAACTGATTCCACCTCCTTGTTCTTACTGTCTAACCATCGTGCGCGTTATTTCCCACAGTCATCTGCCCCACAGTTTCTTCCCTTGAGCACCACTGCAACATAAGTAAAGTGATTTTCTTTGCACTCTGTCCCTAGTTTAATCTGAATGAAACATAGTGGACTCTCTTCTAAAGGAGATAACTACTCCCATTCACTATCAAGGCACAGCAATTGCAGGCTTAGCCCACTGAAGTACAAGTGTTTAGGACATGAGGCCTAACGACCTTAAAATGTTCCCAATGTAAAAAGGGAGCTGGAGATGTTCAGGGCTCCGGCTCTGCCAGCACTGGACCAGGCGTGGAAGGCATGTGGAAGCCAACCTGAAGGAGGGTCAAGGACAGAAAAGAAAAACGGGAAGAAGCAAATCTGGGAGTTTGAATGAGTTCAGCCACAAAAGGAAGTAGAAATATTGAAGGGCATGGAAAGATCCAGTTGAAAGATTTTCCTCCTCCTTCTACAAAAGCACATTCCTATTTATGGCGGGGTATCTGGCATATAGTTGAGTGGTAAATAAACGTGTGTTGATTCAACACAATAAGCAAGCATTTTGCTTGCTGTATTTCCTTTTTTCCTTGGGGAACTTGGTTTATAGCTGCCTCACATCTCTTTTGAAAGCGGTAATAAATCACGTTAAATGAATATAGTGCCCACAATATAGAGACGCGATGAGAAGAGCTATGAAAAAAACTAAGAAAAAGTGAAGCGAACGGAACCCGGGCATCCTCACAAAGACAGCAGCTTATACTGTACGAAAAGCACTGGCCTCAGAGTCAACCTACATTCAAATGGGAGCCCGCTCTGTAGCTGGCTGGGTGGGCATGGGGCTGTATTACAAACCCTATTTCCATCATTTGTAAAATGGGGAATACTGCCTCGTTCCGTCCCAGAGCTGTCAGTTAGGATTCAATGGGGCTGGGGGGGTTTCAGATGGTTCCTCTTGTTTTGTTCTGCTCTTCCTTCCCCTCTGAGTGCAGGTAGTGGTAGGTGGTCCTTGGAGCAGACACTGGAAGGGGGAGAGCCTGGTGAAGGCAGATGACAGGGAGAAAGGTGTGCCTTCACAGAAGGGAGTATTCAGTTATTCCTAGTCTTTGAAATGCAGAAGAAAGGTGTGGCGGGAGCAAAATCCCTGGAAGGAAGAAATAATGGAGAGCTAACGGTTCTTGGAGAGAGATCCTCCGGAGGTGACCGGGCTGGATACCCGGGGAGCTTGTCACTGCATAGTTGTAAACGGAAGAAAAAAGGGCTGGGCAGTTTGAAGACACCAAGGGCCGGAATCCTGGCTCACCAAGTATGACCTTGGGCAAGTTACTTAACAGATCTAGAGCCTCCCGGTCGCAAAATGTAGATTAATGCCTCACAAGGGATGGCTGTCAAGATTAAATGAGATAATGGACAGGAAGGCTATTAGTGCGAGGCAATAACAGGTATTATTAGAGTTAGATTTTCCACCCACTTACAACATTAATGTCCGTGACCTTGGGCGTGATTTCAGTCCTTCTGCGCCTCGGTTTCCTCATCTATAAAATGGGGAGGACAGTTCCGTCCACCCCATGATCACGCTGAGGATCGAATCGGGCCACCAAAGCCGGCATCCCGCCTGGGAAACTGACCGGGGCTCCACATAAAGAACTGCCATCGTGGATTCCGAGGGGTTTTTTGCACGTCAAGGGCCGAGTGGTTGCAGGGAGCACGTATTTTTCTACTATCCAGGTGAGGACGCCTGGCATGCATGGGTGCACCCCGGAGTGGGGCACAGTGCACAGGCGTGCCGCGAAGGATTCCGGGGGTGTGACTTGCACGCTCGGGGGAAGGACCGTGGGGCACGCTGTGGGGCCAGGAACAGGGGAATGGGCGCGGGAGTGGGGGCAGGGGGCTGCAGGCTGCACGGCTGGGGACGGCTGGGGGCACAAACACGCATGCCCAAGCCGGAAACGTTTTTCTGGAGGGTGAGGAGGGGAGAGCCATGCGCATCCCGGAATAAGGGGGGGGTGGGGAGGGATGCGGTGTGCAAGCCCGGAGGACGGCCCGGGGGTGCGATCCCCACACACCCGGGGCCAAGGCTCTTTACCTTGTCGCTGTAATCCCTCAGGACCCGCTCGATAGCCCCCGCCTCGCCGGCCCGGACGATGTAGAGGGCGCGCTCCTCGTCCATGGCCGCAGGTGCGGGGGAGCTGCGGCCGCTCTGCGCGCCCAAGCCAGTGCCTCCAGGTAAACGCCTCGCGCCTCCGCTCGCTCGCTCCTTCCCAGCTTCCTTCCTTCCCTCCCTCCCTCCAGCCTCCAACCCGCCAGCCTCCGCCCGGGCAGGCCCGACGTCACCGCCCCTCAACTTTCACCCCGCGACGTCACCGCTCCCCCAGCAACCGGCGCCTCGAGGCCGCCCCCGACCAGGCCCAGAGCTCGAGGGAGGCCTGGAGAAGGGCCTGAGGCGGGGTCAGGCCCGAGGCTTTGCTTGCTCTCCTGCCTGTCCCTCGCTCGGAGCAGCCTCCAGCCTGCTAATTGGGCTGTCACAGACAGAACGGTTCTCCTCTCCTGACCCTCCTCTATGAATCATTCTCCTCAGCGACGAGCGCATCTGGGCTCTTCGCCGCCCAGCTATGAGCCAGCAGCTAACTACACTACAACTCCCTGCATGCAACGGGGCCATCCCATTCGGCCACCTACCTTACGGGAGCGGCGAATGGCATGCCGGGATTAGTAGTCATCCAGCGGGAAAGCCCTCCTACCAAAGGCATGCTGGGAATTGTGGTCCTGCGAGGGCCGGAAACGGGAGTAGGTGGCCGCCAGAGGCCAGCAGCGGAGGGACCGTTAGGGGGAGGGTCTAAGGTCGTCGCTGCCTGGTGTTTTGTTCCTGACGGTTCTGATTGTCCTGCTCCCCAACCTTGGCTCTTTTGGCAGAGTGACCATCGCGGAAATCGACACCCTTTGGTGGGAACCCTCAAGCACCGGGTTGATTCCCTCTTTTCTCATTTAGTGGTTTTGGTCGCTCTGAATTTTTGTCCTTCTTCCTCTGCTTGCGGTCAGATTGTGTCTACGGCTTCACAAATGAGGGAGATCCAGATGATAGGAGACACGGAAGTTTTGGTTTCACCTGTTTTTTAATAGTAATCGATGCTCATTTATCGAGGGCCTACGGGGCTCCAGACTGTGTTCGGTCGTGTCTGTGCACCACCACCACCACCACCACCACCAAACTCACTACCATGGAGTCAGTTCTCATGCACAGCTATGCTGTAGAACAGGGTGCAGGTGCCCCTGTGGTTTATGGAGACTGTCACTTTATGGGAGGAAGAGGCCTCATCGTTCTGCTCCATAGCCTCGAACCTGACACCACAGACTTTGTAGAGCCCAAAGGAACCTGACTCAGATGAGTTAGGATTTGCCCTAAATCACATAGCTGGTGAACTGATGATGAAGTCAGGATTTGAATCAAGGGCATTTCACAAAGACCGCTGTTTGAGACCCTTGCCTTTGGCTAGTGGGGGTCTGCCAGCAGTTTAATCTAACTACTCTGAAGATGTATTTTGGGCTCCCACTGCCCTCCATAGCCTTCTACCAATTGGGTATTCATAATTTCAGCTCTGATACTTTTTTGTCGTATTTGAATTTTGTTATTGTCATGGTTGGATCACACAAACTGGTGTGTTTCTTCCATGTGGACTTAGTTGACGCCTCGCTTAGATGGCTGCTTGTTTGAATACAAGCCTTTGAAGATCTATTGCAATTGATAGCCAGGCACCACCTTCTCTCTTTGCCATACTTTGCTGTAGTGCCCTTATCTTCAATGATCATTTCATGAAGGGTATCCAGCAGCGCCATGCAATGCTAAAGATCTGTTTGTTTGTTTTTAAGTTTTTTATAAAATCATTTTAGTGGGGCCTTTTCCAGCTTATATAACAATCCATGCATCCATTGTTTCAAGCATATTTGTACATAAGTAGCCATCAACATTTTCTAAACATTTACTTTCTATTTGACTCTTGGTATCAGCTCCTCTTTTTTCCCTCCCCCCTTGATAGATTATACATTATTATTATTATTTTCATATCTTACACCAACTGCTGTCTCCCTTCACTTATGTTTCTGTTGTTCGTCCCCCTTGGTGGGGGACAGGTTATGTGTCAATCATTGCGATCAGTTTCCCCTTCTTCCCTTCCAATCCCCACCTTCCCCCGACCCTTCTGGTATCAATACTCCCATTTCTGTTCCTGGAGGGTTTATCTGACCTGGATTCTGTGTATCCTGAGCTCTTATCTGTACCAGTGTACATGCTCTGGTACACCCAGAACTGAAAGGAAGGACTGGGGTCAAGATAGTGGGGGTAAGGAAGCCTCAAGGAACCAGAGGAATACTGTGTGTTTCATTGGTGCTATACTGCACCCTGGTTGACTCATCCCTTCCTCGTGACTGTTCTGTGAAGGGATGTCCTATTGTCTAAGAAAGGGTTTTGGGTCTCTACACCGACCCGCCTTGTTCTCAACAGTAATGTTTTTTTGTGTTTGTTTTGGGTCTTCTGGTGTCTGTTACTCGATTCTGTTGACACCTCATGATCGCACAGACTGATGTGTTTCTTCCATGTGGGCTTGTTGCTTCTCTGCTAGATTTACTTGTGTAACTTCAAGCCTTTAAGACCCCAGACACTATATCTCTTGATAGCTGGGCACCATCATAGGCTAAAACTATTTATGAGAGCAGAAAGCCTCATCTTTCTCCCTAAAAACCACTGATAGTTTTGAATCGCTGGCCTTGCGGTTAACAGCCCAACTTGTAACCTACTATACCACTTGTGGGGGAGGCAGTATGCTCATTTTAAGGTACGGAAACGTGAGTCTTGGAGAAATTATTGGATTCATTGCAGAAGTTGCATGCTGACGTAAAGCCTAGTAGAGACCATTCTCTTTCTGCTCTCCCAGCTGTTAGGAAATGGCTGGATTCTTCAGGTCATTTCTAGTTTTACACTCGTTAAGAGAAATCATCGTTGATGTTCCCTGGCCACCTCTTCCATTGGAGCTGTGCTGAAGAACTAATGCAGGCAAAGATTTGTTCACCTGATAATGCTGAGTTTCTGCTGTAGTCAGACACTGGGCGAGGCACTGGGGATTCCCAGAGGAACATGAACATGGGACCAGAGTTCTGGGGTCTTGGGTCATTCTGTGAACTGTACCCTTCATGCTACAAACCCTTTTTTAAAAGCATATTTGTTGAGCCAGGTATAGGGTGGGTGCCATGTCTGTAATTACATCAGATTTTAATCACTCTCTTTGGTGGGGGCAGGGAAAGCACACTTCTTAAGAAGGTAAGGAATAGAACCCCACATTTCCCAGGTAATAGTAACATCTTAACAGTTTGCAGAACATTTTTTACATGATCGCAGTACGTCATTGAGGAACACATTGGCCCCATTTGATAGAGAAGAAATCTGAAGTTCAGATGAGTTCAGTTGCATGCATGAACTGGTATGCAAATGGTAGCTATAACTGCAACTTTTCTGATTGCATCTTCTGTGTCTTGTACTGTGTCAAGTGCTTTTGGGGTAGCCATATATCTATTTTTGGAGCAAGGGTTCCCAGAGAGGATATTAGCAAGGAAAATATCTAGGTAGAGACTTTCTTTTTTTTTT